AACAATTGCATTAAAAAAAATAAGTTAGTCACCAAGATAAAAAAAAAAAAATCGTAAAGAAAATATTAAAATTAATAAATATGTGAGAGATTACTATAGAGAATGAAAAATATTAAATTAGTTCATATGGTTAGCTTACAATATTTCTTCGGTATAAAAAAATCATTAAATTATTCCGAAATGGTAGACTTAAAAAAATAAACTCATTGCCCAGTTTTACATCAGGATCAAAGCAGTATTTCAAGCGCAAATAGACAAAAAAATATATATAGTTGGAATTTATTGTAGAGAGATTTAAAAAGCTCCCCCCAAAAATGGACACTGTTTTATTAATCTGGCTACAGCTGGCAACTCCCTCACCCTCCCACCCTACCTCCCTCCCCCTAAGACAATAAATCCCCCTAACACCCTCCCCTCTAACACCCCCCTAACACTAACACTCCCCTAACACCCTCCCCTTATGCCAGCCAAAACACTGAAAATGTCTCCTAATTCCTTTGTTATTCAATTTTCTCTTATTTACATTTTCCTTATGATTTATTTACTTTTTAATTATTTTTTCATATCTATTGGCTTATTACCTCAGTAAAGAGACTAAGTGTACAGGTGAGAGAGAGAGAGAGAGAGGGAGAGGGAGAGGGAGAGAGAGAGAGAGAGAGGGAGAGAGAGAGAGAGAGACCTTTCTGAAAAAAAGTTCTACTGTAAATTGAAACAACAGTAACTTAATGTGTTTGAGAACTCTTGATAAAATATAATGATGCCATGGCTGAAAAAATACAAAAGTCACATCTAATTAAAAATATATATCAAACGAGTCAACGTATTATACATTTAGTTAATATTTTGAGGATATTATCAATGGTTAAGCGTAAATTGATGATTAAAAACACTAATATACCCTAACCTACAACACGACCCTGAAGTAAGATGCCAGATAGTACTAAAACTGTCCAGGTTATTTTGAACTTAACATAAACATTTTCTCTATTTCTTCCTCACTCTGTCTCTCACTCTCTATCTCTCTCAGCGGGCTAGTGTAAGTCGGATATATCACTCTTGCTCTGACATGTTCCCAAGAGGAAGTACACGCGTTCACATATTCAAGCGTACATACAATAAGTAAATATGTGCCATGCTTATATGTGCGTTTAGTTGAGTGTTTTCTTCGTATTTTTCTTTCTCTAACTTTCCATCGTATTCGTATTAGATTTTCTATCGTGAAAGATTTTACAAGTTTTCAAATTTTCAGAAATGTGTCTATGTAAGGTGACCAGATCCTATAGAGTTGACTTAGTATACTTGATCATATATGTCAGAATAATGATATATCATTATACTATTACCAATCTACCAGTACTATCATTATACTATTACCAATCTACCAGTACTATCATTATACTATTACCAATCTACCAGTAGTATCATTATCTCACTATTACAACTCTTATAACGCTTCTGTAACAACAACATCATTATACCGTCTTGTTATTAAGCTGTCACTCATACACGGACACATGTACACACACACGGACACACACGGACACTTACACCTACATGGCGTCCCCTCTCAGATATCTGTTAGCATTACCAAGCTTTCCCCAAGGAAATGAAAACATCAATTTCATCTTGGCGTTAAAATACGACTTTAAAGGATTCAAGTCCACACGGCACCAAGAACACCAACACCCGTAAGGTCCTGATTGCTATCCTTTCGTGTAAGTAAACTGCTTTATAACGCCAGAGCACATAGCACTCTCTTGCCCCCGGGTCGCTCATCTCCCGGCTTCAGAGAGGATCGGACACAATTGGTTCTTATTGCCGCTATTAAGAGTTGATTTATCGATCTTATGTCGTCGAGGACAAGTTTTTTCTTAGACATTTATGACTGAAAGTTAGAGCTTGCTGGGGTCAAGTTTTTTCTTAAATAATTAAATCTTTCTATAATCGTTAAAACCGGAAATTTACCTGCGATGTTGAGTTGTTAAATAGTTATGCTCGTAAATATTGCTATAAATATGGCCAACTGAACCAAAAGAGGAACAATTGGAAATATAAGTGTTTCTAGAGTGACTTCTACGACCCATACATGACACAAGTAAATAAAAAAAAAAATATTACCAAAGTTAAATGAAACAAAGTGAAAGACAGACATGTATATGATAATCCCTCACACAGATTCCGACATTCCATAAAAATACCGAGAGTTAAAAGAAACAAGAATTGTGATAATTTTCATGAAATAAAAAAATCTTTGTATTGCGGGGAAAAAGCGAATATTTGATCCATGTGAAAAAAATAAACATGAAATTCTTCAATATAGGAAATACTGAACGAAATTGAAGCCGAAATAGATAAATGTTTTTTTTTATTAAACAGAAATGTTATCATCGCTAAATGTAAATATAAAGGGATGGGAACACGAGACACTGACTGAAGTTCTTACAAATCATTCGCTGATCCAATTGACAGGGAGAGAGATGATACAGACACACACACACACACACACACACACACACACACACACACACACACACACACACACACACACGCCCCTCATAACACCATCTGTGAGGGAATTACTACACCACGTCAGGTCCCTCCTAACACCATCTGGGAGAGAGTTACTACACTACGTGTTTGCTGTTCAACACCTACATTAATCTGTATGTTCACTGTATGTTCCTTTACCTTTCTCTAATGAAGGCTTGTGTTAAACCACCAATGTATGTAATATTGTAATAAGCCATTTATGTCCAATGTATATTTTCAGCCTTCAGGCTGCAGAACTTTTTCAATAAACCGTTAATATATATATATATATATATATATACACACACACACACACACACACACACACACACACACACACACACACACACACACACATTCCATATATTTGGCCACATTACTACTACTACAACATCTAACATTATACATAACAGAATACTGACATACACTTGTGTGGTGATTGTCTTGAAAATTGGCACTCATATTATTGCTGCTGCCCCCCTGGCCTCCCACCCCCAGCCTCCCCCAGCCACCTCCCACCCCCAGCCTCCACCAGCCACCCCGGCCTCTCTCAATTTATGTTTGCGCTGTAGAACTTGACGTACAGTGTTGAAACTAGTCACAACGATGCTCTCATACACAAACATGTCACTATTGTTTTCCATAGACAAAGAGAGAGAGCAGTCAGTCTGTTCCTGTGTTTATATAATGGCTTTACAATTTGTGTTGTATGTGTGTTTGTGTCTGTGTGTGTGTGTGTGTCTTCATGTATGTTTGTATACAATATCTCCATGTACATGCATGTATGACTATAAATATATGTATGTACAAGTGTGTAAATGTATGTGTATACTTTGTCCATATTGCATGTATTCCTGTACGTAATCTTTCAAGTATCAATGTATGCATGCATGTATATGTATACAGTCCATTTCTATATGTATCTATATGCATTTATATGTATACATGTAACTTTGTTTTTGAATGCATAGGTATGGATGTGTATGTACGTGTTTACATGTGTGTATAAGAGGTGTGTGTGTCTTTGGGTGTACCGTATATAGTAGTGAGTTACCCTTCTGTGTCCTCCATGTTGTTTCCTTTGTGAAAGAAATGATTAGTGTCCTAACGAGAGGCTGGCTACAGGTAGGCTACAGGTACAGGTACACGTATAGTTACAAACGGGTCATACACAACACAGGTAGTTACAGATAATACAGGTAGACCAATTCTCGTGTTACAGGTAAAACTTCAGTAATAAGCCATAGAAAAATAGCACACAAAATCCTCTTTGTCTGACCTTGTTTAAAAGAACAAGCGAAATAAACCAATTAAAACCTCAATTAGAAGGAATTATTAACATGCAATCCTGTTTTTCCGTTAATTGAATCATAAAACATAAATTCATTTACAGCAAGTTATATATATATATATATATATATATATATATATATATATATATATATATATATATATATATATATATATATATAATATATATATATATATATATATATATATATATATATATATATATATATATATATATATATATATATATATATATATATATATATATATATATATATATATATATATATAAAGTTTCAACTGAAAATGTCACATCAATATTCTTAATCAACTTGCCAGTTCATATCAACAACTTTCATAAATAATTGAATCATTTATGTCTTATAATATATCACAAATTTATTACACTCGTAAAATAAATCATCTTCATTATCAATAAATTTCATCGGTGCCAGAAATTCGTTCGGTATTCCCCAAACTCAGCTTGAGTGGAACTCGACAAAGACGTTGCTCAAGTCAGTGTGATCTTGAGTGTGATTGGTTGTCGCTGCCTGAATTAGTTCTCTGATTGGCTATTAAAGTCTGGCCTCTCTCAAGTGGAGTTTCTGAATACTCGAACCTTCAGGCGAGGATCAAACGATAGGAAAAAATAGATAATCGTTTATTCTAACAGATTACTTTTGGTGGCTGGCAAGATGGCGAATATTAACCGCATTTAAAGATACAAATTATAGACATATATCATCTCTATATGTTACCATAATATAAGAAAAATATATCCCTTTAACATATATTAAGATAAGTGAATAATTTACTTTCTTACTTGTAGTGAAAGAAAGAAAAATAAAATCTAAAAAAAAAAACTTACAAAATAACAAAAAATAAATCTTTAAAACTAAGATAACAACTAACAAAATATAGCAAAAACCCCATAGACAGATACGATAACAAATACGTTATCTTACTCTTCAATAAGACTATAGTTAATACCCTTATACCTTAACACATAAGATTAATATTAAAATCATTGCAAACATTAATAAACATCTAATTAACAAAACATTAATAAAACAAAATACCAATAAATACGTTAGGACAGCAGTAAACAATAGAAAACAACAAGACAAAACAATAAACAATAAAAAACAACAAAAGTCAAAACAGTAGTAGATGAGACTCACTTGAGGTTGTGGCTTTGACCTCGTCCTTAGTGAAGTCTGACTGGCCCTTGTTGTTGAAGGCGAGAACATTGAAGGAGTAGCTGGTTCCTAGGGAGAGGCCAGTCACGGTGAAGGTTGTTACGTTGGCTGGGTACACGTCTGTATACTGTGGGGGAGGAGGTAGTGGTGAGTGGTGGTGAGTGGTGGTGAGTATAGGTGGTGGTGAGGGTAGAGTATAGGGGTGGTGGTGGAGTGGTGGGTGGAGTGTGTGGTGGTGAGGGTAAAGTATAGGTGGTGGTGGGAGTGGTGGTGAGTATAGGTGTGGGTGAGTGGTGGTGAGTATAGGGTGGTGGTGGAGTGGTAAAGTGAAGAGGTGGTGGTGGAGGGTGGTGAGGGTGGTGGTGAGTGGTGGTGAGTATAGGTAGGTGTGAGTGGTGGTGAGTATAGGTGGTGGTGGAGGGTAGAGTATAGGTGGTGGTGAGTGGTGGTGGAGAGAGGTGGTGGTGAGAGGTGGTGAGTATAGGTGGGTGGTGAGTGTGGTGGTGAGTATAGGTGGTGGTGAGTGGTGGTGAGGTGGTAGGTAGTGGTGGTGGTGGTGTGTGGTGAGGGTGATTAGTGGTGGTTATGTAGAGGGGATGGTGAATGTTAATGGTTGAAGAGGGATGGTGATAATGATGATGATGATGATAATGAAGTTAATGATAATGATGTAGGTCATAGTGATAAGGATATTGATTGTGTTTATAATGACAATAATGTGATGATGATGATGATGATGATGATGATGATGTTAGACGAAAGACAAGAAGACGGAGAATGAACAGAGGTGATAGAGCGGACATTACATACATAGTGGAGAGACATAATGGTAAGACATAATGCAAGGTGTGGTAACGGCAGGGTCAAGAGGAGGAGAACAGGGATAATGGCAGATGCTAATGACGAAGGTGCAGTAGTGGCGGTGGTGTTAATGGCAAGGGAGGGTCGTGGTGGTGTTAAGGGGACGGTAATGGCACAGAGTAATAGCATGGAATAATGGCAGGAGAGGGTAGTGGCGGTGGAGGGTGGGTGCAATGGGCAGTAACTGACAGGGGAAGTAAGTGGCGCACAAAGGCAGAGGTGTGTGGGGCAGGGAAGTGGGGGACATAAAGAGAACTGGACACACACACACACACACACACACACACACACACACACACACACACACACACACACACACACACCCTAATTTAATTCTACTTGCATCCAAACACAACAACATGTTGACATTTATTTAAATCAAAGAACTAGGACATTCTCATTACCATAAAAAAAAACTCAACAACCTATTATTTATAAGTTTCAGGCCCCACCAACACCTAAACACACCCTTTAAAGACCACTTACCTGGTATCTATTGGTATCAGAGACGTGGAACCTGACCCGGTATTGTTGGGATAGACCGCCGTCAAAGCTTGGGGTCCACTGAAGGTCGACTGAGTTGTGTGTGAAGTTGAGGACCTGTGGGTGGAGGACGGGGAGCCAACTGTAAGATCTGACTCTCTCGTGAAGGTCTCTCTATCTCACTCTCTCATCCTATCTCACTCTATATCTCTCTCTCTTCGTCTGTCTGTCCGTCTCTCTGTCTCAATATGTTGATTTAGCCACGAGACGTTTGGTGAAAGTGTTTTGAGAAAGGTACAAACTCACTTACATCGTAATATCTTGTCATGAGATGGTAATACTTTTCCTGGAGAAGCATACCAGCTGAAGAGACAGAGAGAGGGAGATGAATATGGATAATTTATAGATTCAACACAAGCGTCTTGAAGGTGTTTGAAGAAGGGATTAAATTCTCTATGTTTAGTCGATGCGTTTATATAATTTTTTTATTGAGGTGGTGGGCGTTAGGCTTTTGTTTTAAATCCAAACACTTTTATTGAAGAGTCAGAACAATTAAATTTATGGTCAGATATGCATGATTATTTGCGAATTTAAAATTTGTTTTATATTAGAAACATTCAGACTCGTTGTGTATAATTAGTTATTTTTTCTCGTATATATTACATTTTTGGAGGGTATTTAGAGAGAGAGAGAGAGAGAGAGAGAGAGAGAGAGATATTACATTAAGTAACTTTAGATAGGATTACATCTTGGAGGTGTTTGAAGAAAAGAATCAAAGTCGCTACGTATAATTAGTTAATACTTTTTCCCGCGTGCCTCTCAGGGTATTCTTATGTGTGTGTGTGGGGGGGGATTCGAATACCTTTGTGGGAGGCTGCAAATTCCCTTTAAGAGGATTCAACTCGTAATTTGCAGGTCTCTCTCTCTCCTCTTCTTTGGGCCTTGGTATATCCTCTTGAAAAGGATTCTAAGTGAAATTAAGCATTCCATCGGGAGAATTTAACTTCATTGTTTTTACTCGGGGAATATAAGTACAGTGGTTATGGGACAAAAACAAGAACATAGTGTTATATAAGAGTAGCCATTATGAGGAGTTGGATACGACTGAGTGGGAATAAGAGAATTAAAAAAAAAAAAACGATATGAGCACAGATGTTATGGTTATCTCTATTCTTTAATTATTCTTATTCTTATTTTTAGTTTAATTCTTCACTTATTTTATCGTTTTTACCACCCATCTATAACCATTCCCCATTACCCACCCCATGAGCCTTCCTCCAACACCCACCCATAACTCTCCCCCATCACCCACCCATAACCCTCCCCCCAACACCCACCCATTAACTTTCCCCATCACCCACCCATAACTCTCCCCATCACCCACCCATATAACCCTCCCCAACACCCACCCATAACCTCCCCAACACTCCACCCATAACCCCTCCCCAACACCCACCCATTAATCCTTTCCTCAACACCCACCCATAACCCTCCCCACTGATCCATAACCTCCCCCCAACACCCACCCATTAATCCTCTTCCCCATCACCCACCCATAACTCTCTCTATCACTCCACTCCATAACCTCCCCCAACACTCCACCCATAACCTCTCAACACTCCACCATTAACTTTCTCCCATCACCCACCCATAACTCTCCCTCAACACCCACCCATAACCCTTCCCTAACACCCACCCATTAACTTTTCTCCCCATCACCCACCCATAACTCTCCCAACACTCCACCCATAACCCTTCCCTAACACACACCCATTAACTTTCCCCATCACCCACCCATACCTCCCCCAACACCCACCCATTAATCTCTTCTCTATCATCTCCGCCCATAACCTCCGTAACACTCCATCAGCAACCTTCTAACACCCACCATAGCCCTCCCCCAACACCCACCCATACCCTCCAACACTCCACTCCATAGCGCCTTCCCCAACACCCACCCATACCCCTCCAACACCCACCCATAGCCCTCCGTAACACCCACCTTCAGGTCGAGGGGCGTGTCAGGCTTGCTGGTGCCGTCGAGATGTATAGCCGTCCGTGAAGACCCGAGAGGATTTCTAGCCTGACACTCGAAGAAGCCGTAATCCTTATTGGTGACGTTCTTCACCAACAGGACGCTCTCGTAGGTCACCAAGCCATCCACCAGCTGCACCAGGAACAAAGGAACAGGGAGTTAATTCCACTAATCACCATTAGGAGGAAGGGTAAGGAGCCATAGTCCTTTACGGTGGCGTTTATTTCACCATTAAAACATTCTCTGTGGGTCACCAAACGGCCCATCCACCAGCTGAAGAAGGCTCCGTAGAGGGAGTGTGAGAGAGAGAGAGAGAGAGTTAGTTAAGTTTTATGGGTGTTGTGGACGTTGATGGAGAAAAATTACAGGTAAGTGAGGGTAAACGTGTTAGATTGTGACGTGTAATTTGATGGGGAAAATATTCAGGTGTGTACAGGTAAACAGGTTCTTTATTGGTTGGTTGTTGATGTTATGATAATTTTGTGTGTGTGTGTGTGTGTGTGTGTGTGTGTGTGTGTGTGTGTGTTATAGCGCAATTTGTTAACATTGCTCCCTGCTGTTCTAACTACTTATACTACTACTACTATTACTATTATTAAGACTACCAACTTACCTTTTCAAAACTCTATTGCTCCTATCTCACCTCCTCTATCTATCCTCCTAGCCTATCGATGTCTTATCTTATATAAAGGTGGATAGACAGGTGAATCAAAGGGTATCCTCTCCCTATTCACCCATCCTTTCTACCTATTCCCTCCCTTTTCCCCATCCTCTCTACCTATCCCCTCCCTATTCATCTTCCCCTACTTATTATCCTTTCCCCTTTCTTATCTTATCAACGTATCCTTTCCCTTTTCTTCTAACTTATCTACCTCTCCCTCTCTTTTCTCCCATCCTCTTAACCAATCCCCCCTATTCTCCCATCCTCACCTACCTATTCTCCCCCTCTCACCCCCTTCTACACACCCACCTTGGAATCCTCAACAACATATCGGTTCTTGAAGACAGAGTACACGGCCGGCTCGATGGGGGTGTTGTCTCGCGTGAACCAGGTGAAGTGGACGTAAGGTGCGCCACTCGCTCGACAGGTGAGGCGAGCGTTGCGTCCTGATTCCGCCGCTGCTTTCTGGTATTTGGGGGATTGATCTATGACGGGTTTATCTGTGTGAGAGAAAGAGAGAGAGAGAGAGGGAGGTAAGTACTGGGAGTGGTGGTGATGGTTGTTGTGGAGAGAGAGAGAGAGAGAGAGGGGGAGAGGAAGAGAGAGAGAGGGACAGGAGAGAAGAAAGGAGAGGGAGAGAGGTAAGAGGAAGAGAGACAGGAAAGAGGTGAGAGGAAGGAAGACAAAAGAGAGGTAAGAGGAAGGGAGAGGGAGAGGGATGAGAGGAAGAGAGACAAGACTGAGGTGAGAGGGAGAGAGGAGAGAAGATGGGAGAGGGAGATAAGAGGTGAGAGGGAGAGAGGAGAGAAGACAGAGGGAGATAAGAGGAGAGGGTCGAGGTGTGAGAGAGCCATAATTTGCGTAACTGATGTCGAACGGTAGGGTTATGACACACACACACACACACACACACACACACACACACACACACACACACACACACACACACACACTGTCTCACTGTCTCTCTCTCACTTACGTTTCACAACAATAGTGGTGTTAGCGACAGCCTCATCTCCAATGTCGTTCTTGGCGTGACAGGTGAACACTCCGGTGTCTGCTGTCGTCACGTTCTTAATCGTCATCAGGTTAGTGAGGGGAGAACGGCAGGTTAGTGAGGGGAGAACGGCAGGTTAGTGAGGGAAGAACGGCAGGTTAGTCTGAGGGGAGAACAGGTTAGTGCAGGTTAGTGAGGGAGAACGGCAGGTTAGTGAGGGAGGAGGTTAGTGAGGGAACGGAGCAGTGGGTTAGTGAGGGGAGACCGGCAGGTTAGTGGGGGGAGGACAGGTTGATGAGGAGAGACAGCAGGTTAGTGAGGGAAGAAGAGGTTAGTGAGGGAAGAACGGCAGGTTAGTGAGGGAAGAACGGCAGGTTAGTGAGGGAAGAACGGCAGGTTAGTGAGGGGAGAACGGCAGGTTAGTGAGGGAAGAACGGCAAGTTAGTGATGTGATAATAACAAGAATTACAAATTAATAACCCAAATATATACTAAAAAAATACATCATTGAAAAAATCACCAAAAATTTGTAAAAAAGGAAAAAAAAATGAAGAGGAAAACGGAATAAAAGAGAAACAAGAACAATTAGGAAAGTGAGGAAAAAAATCCCTTTAGGCAGGAAACAACGCGACGATACGGAAAGAAACCGGATGGAATGAGGGGGGACAAGAACGCATGATATCAATCCACATCTTGGCATGAGTCGGTAAGAATGATAGATGTTGTCGTACATTCACACTAAAGAATGATTGGAGAAGCGGCGGGCTGTAATGCTTCTATCTCTCTCTCTCTGTCTCTCTCTTTGTCTCTCTCTCTCTCTCTCTCTTGTTTTATTGATTATCTCTGTTAGTTGCTTTCACTTTCTCTTATTTTTCTCCTCATAAGATCTCTTTCTTTATCTTTCTCTCTGTCTCACTTCCTTATTTCTCTCTTTCGCTCTTAGTTTATCTCTCTCTCTTTCCCTCTATTTTTGACTCATTAGATATATCTCTTACGCTCCTCATCTCTCTCTTTCGTTACTTTCGCCATTATTATGTCTCAATCTCTCCCTCTCATGTCTCAATCTCTCCCTCTCATGTCTCAATCTCTTCCTCTCATGTCTCAATCTCTCCCTCTCATGTCTCAATCTCTCCTTCTCATGTCTCAATCTCTCCCTCTCATGTCTCAATCTCTCCCTCTCATGTCTCAATCTCTCCCTCTCATGTTTCACTCTCTCCCTCTCATTATCTTTCTCTCTTTACCAAATCTCTCTCGCTATATCTCTCACTATTTCTCTCCCCTAGCTTTATCTCACTTTCTATCTCTCACCCATTGTATATCTTCCTCACTGTCATTCTCATTCTCTCTCTCTCTCTATTTATCTCCCAATATTCCTGCCAGTTGATGACGTCCTGAAACACGAAACCCATCTTTCTCAGCGAGCCATTTAGTGTGAGACATCCCCCCTACGCTATATGAGTTGACAGTCCCTCTCTCTCTCTCTCTCATCAAAGTAATTACGTTGTTATACACTGAGAGAGGATTTGTATATCGATGAGTTATTGATGTTTTCTGTGGTGGTGGTGGTGTGTGTGTGTGTGTGTGTGTGTGTGTGTGTGTGTGTGTGTGTGTGTGTGTGTGTGTGTGTGTGTGTGTGTGTGTGTGTGTGTCAATATTTATATCTACACCTGTACTCTTGTTTATGAATCAGTCATGTAAATTGATCCCAGGCAGCAGCGTGTGGGAGTACTGTAATGACAATGAAATCTCTGTACCCTCGCTTGTATTTGCGCCTTTACCTGAATTATGAATGTTTGAATTTCATTATAATTTTGAAATAGGAGTCTGAACATGTATCTGTACCTGTAATACGTAAATTATGACTGTATCTATGGTTATTATTCTGAAATTGATGTAGCTGTAATTGTATCAGAATATGAACATGATTTATGAGTATTTGTATATTGTTAATATTTTGAAATCTTTGTATCTGTGATTTTACTTATAAGAGAGAGAGAGAGAGAGAGAGAGAGAGAGAGAGAGAGAGAGAGAGAGAGAGAGAGAGTGATATTACCTTGGACGGATGTTTCTTGTGCTCGGTCCTGGCAAAGTCGTAGCCCTCTCGCCTCCAGTGTACGTCAGGGTCAGGACTGGCATCCACCCGACACACTAACGTTACATTGGTCCCCATAGATAAGTTCCTTCCGCCAGAGATGGAGGTGATGATCGCTCCGTCTGGGGATAGTAAGAGAGAGAGGGGGGGGTTAGATTAGTAAATTCATGAATGTTCTTTGATTTAATTTATTTATTTTTGTATTAGTGAGTGTAAATAATAATAATAATAATAATAATAATAATAATAATAATAATAATAATAATAATAATAATAATAATAAACCTATTTTTCATTCCTCATTCACTCAAAATAAGGAAAAAAATAAGAAAAAATCTTCACTCAAACATTAATTTCAAAATCTACAAAAATTTGAAAGATGGAAAAAATGTCATATTCGACATAAATTTCAAAACTTCTTTACTTAATGGTTAAGCCTGAAAGAAATGCTTCATTCATTTAAAATTCCGAAACTTCATTCATGTCGGGCAAGTGAAACAGCGAATTGATTTATTGACAGAAAATTCACATAGGAAATTCTAGTTAGCGGAGGAGAGAGTCTTCCTGTTGACGAGGATAACATCAGTAGAGTGAAGGGAAGGAAGTGATCTGGAAATATGATAAATTGCTGGCATCACTGACGAGAGAGAGAGAGAGAGAGAGAGAGAGAGAGAGATTGTGTGTGTGTGTATTTACAAAAATGTCAGATAGGTAAACAGAGAAAAAAGGTAGCTAATTGTATACATCTAAGGTATCATGTTGACATAGGCGATAAATTCGAAGAAGAAGAAGAAGAAAAAGAAGAAGAAGTAGAAGAAAAAGAGATAGAAAGAAAGTAGGGGCAACAATTCTCTTACATTTCACATTAATGGTAACATTCTTGGCGGAACTGCCCTGGGAGTTGGACGCCTCGACGGTATACACGCCAGCTTGGTCCTTGGTCACCGATGTTATGTTGAGTAAACTGCCCGCCATCACCACCTCCTCCCCGCGGCGCCACAGGTACGCCACGCCATTCGGGTTACCGTGGGCACTGACGTTCACCATCACGTTCTCCCCCTCGGTGACGTCTACCATGTCTTGAGGTTCCTTCATCCACACAGGAGGATCTGGGGAGAATAAGAGAGAGGGGAGATGGTGAGAGAGAGATACTGAGGGTAGAGGGTTAGGGAGATGTGGTTGGTAAAGGTAGGGGGAGATGGTGAGGGAGAGGGAGAGACGGTGAGGGAGGGGGGAAGACAGCGAGGGTAGAGGACATAGCAGACCTCAAATAAAAAATAATCTCGGGTATTAATTGATCACCCTTGACCACCAACCCACGAACCTACGCTAGAGTCAGTTACACAGGATGAAGTGGGTCACATTCTCGTCTGATTCTATGTATGTTAAGCTACCAGAGAGGCTACCCCACACACTCACACTGGACGGAGAGAGTAACAGCATCGTGGGTAGTGGAGCCGAAGCGGTTATCAGCCTGACAGGTGAAGACAGCGCCATCGTCCTCAGCCGTCACGTCCACCTTGACTGAGTATCTTTGGGGGAAGAGGAAGACGTCAAGTGTTAGCTGAGGGTCAGGAGTTGGTTTAAAGGGGTAATAGTGTTTAGTGGCTCTGAGTATTCATTAATAGGTTAAGGGGATATATAATTTAATGTAGGTGTAAATATATACCTGAAATTGACATATAAATTTGATGTACAAAACCTATCTGTATGAACACTGGATTAAAAAATATACGTAGATGTTAACTGCCTAGAGATAAACTGACAGATGTTTGGATATTGTTGTAAGGATAAAGATGATGGATTTAACTGCTATAGCTAATGGATAGATGGATTGATAGATAAGAGGATGATTGCGATGATAGACTGACATACAGGAAGAACATAGAGTAAAGAGGAAAGAAGGACTCACTTGGTGGTTGTGCCCCCGAACTGTCCAGGGCTGATCTGAGATTCGCCAGGCTGGACCTCAAAGCCTTCCCTCCACCAGGTGACGTTGGCCCGAGGGTTACTGGAGGAGGACTCACAGATGAGTGTTGCCTCCGTGTTGGCCTGCAGAGGGCGTGGCCGAGTCTCTACCTTCACTGCTGCCGGCGGGACTGAGGGAGACACAGAAGAAATGTTAGAGACAAGTTGGCAAAAATAGAGAGAGAGAGAGAGAGAGAGAGAGAGAGAGAGAGAGAGAGAATACCACTCCTATACTCACACATAACACTGAGGACGGTGGAGTTAACGAGAGGCTCTGGGGTGGCAGAGTTTGTGGCCTGACACCGGTACTCCGCCTCGTTGTCAGATTCAGTCAGGGTGATGTCCAGGTCAGCCAGGGCGGTGCCGGAATCGTGCTTGGTGTTGGTGGGCAGCTCCTGTGATCCCTTGAACCACTGTAGCGTCGCCAGGGGGTTGCCGCCATTACTAACACAGGTAAGTCGTTGTGGGGTGCCCTTCTTCAGCAGACGGCCAAGCTCGTACCCCAGGATGACAGGGGGCTCCGGGGGTCCTGGGGGAGAGAAGGGTATTAATGGGTGATGTTGTGTGGGGGAGGAGGTTATGGGTAAAGGAGGAGGTTAAAGGTTGGGGGGGAGGGGTTGAGGGGGGAGCACTGAAGGGAGAGAAAATAGAGAGGGGGAGGAGAAGGAGAAGTATGTATCTGGTGAGAGAGAGAGAGAGAGAGAGTGCTGATGGGTTGGGTTATGGGTAGACGAATATATTAAATAAAAAAAAAAGATAAAATTTACTTAAAGTTATCCCGTTGTATTTCACTGTTTTTTGCCTCACTCGATATAAACTTTTTTTTTACCAATCACCCAGACTCTATATACATGTTGTCTCCACTCTAGTGTCTCAATATTCAATTTTAATGAAAAATCAAGTTTGCAGTTGGTTGCCAGCCCACCCGTCCACCTCACTGACCCACCATATATTCGCTTAGTTTACGTGACCCATAAATTGTCGACTGGCACTTCACACTGTACACACCATTTCTCTAACTTGTTTAGTGATTTATCTTTTAATACATTTGCAAAATAAATAAGTAAATATTATACAGTAAATCACTATATTTCTTTACATTTTTGCAATTACTATAAGAAAATTAATCATGATTGTTATGAAAAAAAAAAAAGTAGCTATAAAACAAATAATGGAACGGTATATTTTTCCCCCTACGTCACTACCTACACAAACTGTCACTGAAATATATCTGATTTGGACATGAAAAAACCCGTGAGTGATGCTGGAATTGGTAATATTCAAATTTAGATCCAAATAACAAGGCTCAGTGGTTCGTTCCTGTGAAAAATCAGACACAGTTCAGTGATGATTAGTTTTGATTTGCCACAGCGCGTAAAACTTGTGAAGGTTGAATTGAAGAGAAAATTCTGATATATCGAAACATGAATAACAAGTGTGGATGGACCTCGGTGACTGATGAAAGTTTCCTTTCATAACTGAGTGAGAGACTTACGACCATCAAGGAAACAATTATCAAGAGAAGAATTGTTGTGGATTGTGGTAAGGGTGGTAGATTGGTGTTGTCGTGGGGAATGGTGGTAGTAGTAAAAAATAGTTGTTGTTGTGCGGATGGTAATATCAGAGATGAAAAAAAAAAACTTTCCTGCCACACTTAAGTTCATAAGCAAATATTAAGTAGAGCTCATTGTTTTACTGTGTATAAAAAGTAAAGGATAAAACCTTTGCCTTTTCTTACACTCGTTTTTTTATTTACACTTACACAATACACTCAGCAACACATCCCCGGAATAACAATTAATAAGGTCTTTCTTATTCACAGCAGTGTATAATTTAAATGCCTGTTATTCACCACTGAATAGGACGTATTTATGAAAAAAAATTATGTTTTTAAAAGATTCCAAACACAATCCTCCTGGCATATTTTTTCTCGTAAGATAAATTGATGTCATTGTAGTAACCAGTCAGTGTTGAGTGGAGACTGGGGTGTGAAAAGGAGAGACGCTCACAGCTAGGACAGATACAGTCATCAGTCTTTTGTAAGGTGATACAAAAATGCAGCGCCGAGCATGGGATTAACTAACAGTGCCAGCGGAAGCGTAATGGACATCGCCACACAAGAAGAATGTTCATCACAACGTTCTGCACCAGGAAAGGTGTTCTTTTATGATACAAATATTATCAGAATGTTATAATGAAACAATACAGCCAGTGGAAGAATGCGGGATTATTTACGCCTGACATAGCCACTATAATATGAATACAGGGGGAGGGGGGGAAGGGGGGAACGCTTGGCGGTGTTGAGTGCATGTGCTGACGCTGTTCTTAAGACATCAAAAAGAAGATTTAAAACAATACAAGGCTCTACAAGACTCTGATAGCTTTTCCATCACTCACTCAAAACACTGATGATTTTGGTGTCAATCTTGGTCGAGCTGAGAGGAGGATTGAGTGCGTAGCAGTTGATGGTTAGGTCGGAGTCGGTGGGCCTGACTTCGTACACGGTGAGGTTGGTAGTGGTCCTCCAGCCTCCATGTTCTACCTTTTGCGTGCTGGAGGTGGCCCCTGGAGGCGTCTGGCCGTTGATGACCACCGTGACGTCTGCTGGAGGGTTGGAGTTGTCCGCCACACAACTGAGGGAGATCACGTCTCCTACCTTTGCCTCGTCCGGCCCGAAGATGGTGACGGTGGAGGGGGCGACTGTGTTAGAGAGAGGGAGAATTTTATAAATCAAAGCAAGTGGATCTAGAAATATATATGAACAACATACAAACAGTTCATATGACTGTTTCAACAAGTCAAACTAACAGACAAACAGTTTTTACACTTACATACCGATACAGTTAACCTTCCACAACAATAAAACAGTTTCATAGACTAACTTACAGTTCACCCTGAGCTGTATCTCTGCTTTCTTGGGCTGTGTGGTCATCACGTTTATCACATGACACTCGTACTTGGCCAGGTTGTCTGAGGCTTCCACCACGAAGGTGTACTGGTTGTCGACGTAGTCACTGAACTTGTGGAAGTTCTTCTGTACCCGGACACCGTTCTTGAACCAGAAGACCTCAGGTAGTGGGTTTCCTCCTCTGGCACGACAGGTGAGAGTCTTCTTATCTCCTGCCCTGACGATCTCGCCCTCCGTATAGCCTGTGATCTCTGGGGCCCCTGGTGCGTCTGTGTGGGAGATAAAGGGGAGATAAGGGAAATAAGGGTGAGATATTGAGATAAATACAGGGAGAAGAAGAGACGTTTACAAGATTTTTAGCATTATCAGGGAGATAAGAAAGAGGCATGGAGATCTCACCTCCCCCCCTTCCTCATCTCCCTCCCAAACTATCTCCAGGGCTCTTACTTCACCTCTGGGCGATGCAGATGGGAGAGAAGTACGAGATACATTATGTAAGGGAAAAGAGGCATCTCCAAAAACGGAAATAAGGGAGAAGCATCACACTAGCCTCCGTCCACCCATGTCGACCGGGAATTAAGCGAGAGATATGGAGATGCATTATATGGGCTCGTCTGGTGAGAGATAAGGGAACGAAAGAGATAATGAAGACTCATTAATCGAGGAGAGGGGAAGTGTCTCCAGGATTCTCTTCCAGCAGGAGGGAGATAAGTGGGCGGGGGGAGATATTGGAGATGGATTACATGAGGAAGAGAACGAAACAGCCCTTAAGACTTTCTGTCAACGTCATGATCAAAGAGAGAGTCCTCCTCAATAATTTCCTCCAAGAACCTTCATATCTTTCTCCTCAAATCATACATTATATTTTTTTTTTGCAGGATTCCAGTAAATCAGATCCTTACGTGTCCAATAATTTTTTTCTGGAGGAGTTCAGAGTCGACCTAATATTTTTTTTCATATTTCTTTTTAATTACACGAATTTTTGTCTTAATTATCCTTACCTTTTTTAATATTACTTCACACCTGGATAATAAAGATTTAAAAAAAATCTTTGATATTAGACGTAAATAAAATTTTATTTATTTTTTGCTTTCGAAGGCTATTTTTACTCCTTTCTCTCTCTCTCTTTATTTCTATTTTTCTCATATTCTTCCTCATCTTTTAGTTCTACATGAAATTTTAATTACTACATTACGCTTCATTTATAAGTATTTAAGATTAAACTTGCGGTTTTTTTTTATTTTGCTTACGACTGCACTTAAAGATTATACTTACAAATGCTGAGGGATCACACTTACAACTATTTCAAAATTACACTTACGACAACTTAAGGCTTTTCACCTCACACCTATCCTCCTCAACTATGAACCCGTGAACCCGAAGCATTACCCAGCGATGCATTATTCTGTCCATAAATGCTTCGGATCCATGACTCTGAATCTTGTGGTTCGTGGTTCAGGACTTACGTGGGTGCCTGTACAAATACCCACCCGGCCTAGAGTACTAAACAATACATATACTCACAATGCACATCGAGGTGTACTCTGGCTACTTTTTGTACTCCTGTGTGTTCAAGTGCTGGGTGAACGGCGACAACATATTCTACGTCATTGTCGTTGTGCGTCGGGGAGAACGTAATCTTGGAACGTAGTGAAGATAAGTGACTGTCTGTTCCTGATTCCTCCTTCGTATTCTCTAGCGTATCTGAGGAACAAGAGGAAGAAGACGATGATAAATGAAGAGGATGAGTTAATGGGTGAGATAATTTGTGGACGAAAGGTGGAAAGAGGAGGAAGAAAGAAGAGAATAAAGATGAGGAAAGAGGAGGAAGAAAGAAGAGGATGAAGGAAGAACAGGATGAAGAGGAGGAAAGAGGAAGAAGACGAAGAGGGTGAAAAAAAAAAGGACGAAAGAGGATAAAAGAGGAGGAAAGGTTGAAAGGGGAAAAGGAAGAAGAGGAAAGAAGAAGAACATAAAAGGTGGAAACATGTGGGGGTGAAGAGGAGGAAAGAGGAGGAAAGAAAAGGCGGATGGAAAGAGGTGAAAAGAAGAGAATTTCTAACGAACAAGAAGAAGAAAAGAGGAATGAAGTCAATAAATCAATTAAAAAGAACTTACGAAAGAGCAGCAAAAGAACGAATAGGAAAGGAAGAAAAAAGAAGAAGGAAAGAGGAAATATGGGAAAATGATCTTCGAATCCCTCTTTCATGTCTTCGTAAGTGTCGGGGGATAAAGAAGACAATGATAAATGAGGGAAAAAAACATCAGAGGAAGCGAAGTGGAACAAGGAAGCAAAAGCGAATGTGAGAGGTGAGAAAATATGAATAATGATATGAATAACACAATTTTGGGTCCGTTTGAGTTTTCCTTGTGAGTCTGAAGAAGAAGAAGAAGAAGAAGAAGAAGAAGAAGAAGAAGAAAGAAGAAGAAAGACAAAGAAGAAGAAAAAAAGAAGAAGAAGAAGAAGAAGAAGAAGAAGAAGAAGAAGAAGAAGAAGAGACAAAAGAAGAAGAAGAAGAAGAAGAAGAAGAAGAAGAAGAAGAAGAAGAAGAAGAAGAAGAAAGAAAGACAGAAGAGAAGAAGAAGAAGAAAAGAAGAAGACAAAGAAAGAAGAAAGAAAGAAGAAAGAAAGAAGAAGAAGAAGAAGAAGAAGAAAGAAAGAAAGAAGAAGAAGAGATAATAATCGATGAAGATATAAAATGGGAAAAGACGAGAACTAATTAGATTATTATCTAAAATGAAAATAAGAACAAGGAAGGGTGCAGGGAAGTGTGAGAGAGGTGCAGTGAAGGGTGCAGAGAAGGGTGACAGAAGGGTGGCAGGAAAGGTGACAGAGGAGGTTCACAGAAGGGTGTAGAGAGGGTGGCAGAGAAGTGTAGAGAGGGTGCAGAGAAGAGATGGCAGAGTAAGGGTGGCAGAGAGAGTGTAGAGAGAGAAGGTGTAGAGAGACAGTGAAGAGGTTGGCAGAAGGGTGACAGAGAGGTGGCAGAGAAGGGTGGCAGAGAGGGGTGCAGAGGAGTGCAGAGAAGGGGCAGAGAGGGTGGCAGGAGAAGGGTGGCAGAGAAGAGGGTGGCAGAGAAAGAGTGGCAGAGAGGGGTGTAGAGAAAGAGGGTGGCAGAGAGAGTGGCAGAGAGGGGTGAGAGAGGGGTGGGAGAGAAGGGTGGCAGAGGTGCAGAGAGGGGTGCAGAGGAAAGTGGCAGAGAAGGGTGCAGAGGGGCGGCAGAGAGGGTGACAGAGAAGATTGGCAGAGACGGGTTGCAGAGAGGGTGGCAGAGAGAGGTGTCAGAAGGGTGGCAGAGAGTGAACAGGGCATCAGACAGGGGCATCACAGGGGTATACGACAGGGGTGTAGAGAGAAGTCAGATTCAACTCGAGATGAAAAGGAAAGAAAAATAAATCACTCTGGGGAGGAAGAAAATGAGAGAGGGATTATGGTAAGTAACGGAGACAAGACTTGCTTATGACTGTATTTACAGAGAGAGAGAGAGAGAGAGAGAATCAGAGAGGGGGAATATAGATAGATAGATAGATAGAGAAAACGACAATTGGCGAGATAGGTCAATCACGAAAAAATAGTAAAGTATCAATCAAAATGTGTGTGTGTGGTGTGTGTGTGTGTGTGTCAGTGTGTGTGTGTGTGTGTGTGTGTGTGTGTGTGTGTGTGTGTGTGTGTGCGTGTGGAGTGGTCATATAAAAAGCAATAATCTGTAGAAGGGTTTTAGAATTATTTTCTCTTATTCTCTCTCTCTCTGATCCTGGCGTTGTGCCCTAAGGTCAAAACACACACACACACCGTTATCAAAAGAGGGAGGGAGGGAGGGAGGAGGAGAGAGAGAGGAGGAAGCAGGGGGGAGGCTAGGGAGGAAGGAAGGTGCAGGGAGGCAGGAGGGGGGTAGTTGGAGGGAGGGAGGAAATGGAAGATGAAGGAAGGAAGGAGGGAGGTGGAGGTTCAAACTCCCAGGGGTGAACTTTGATCTATCATTCTTTACATTTTGAGGCAACAGTCAGTGAACAACACAGTTTGATCTTTTTCCTCTCCTGTCAACGTTGTTTTAAGGCAGGCAGGGTGGGGAGGAGGGCGATGGAGGGTAGGGGAGCGTGGAGGGAGGAAAGAGGTGGGGAGGTTAGTGGGGAAGGAGTAGGAGGAAGGGTGGAGAGGGTAGTGGAGGGCAGGAAAATGGTGGGAAAAGTGAGTGGGTGGTGGTTAGGAATGGGGAGGTAGAATGGAGGAGTGGTGGGAAAGGTTGGGAGAGGTGGGGAGATGAGGATGATATAACTGAGAATATATGTATGTATGTATGTATGTATGTATGTATGTATGTATGTATGTACAACTAAGAGACAGAACTTCACTAAGACTTGCTGAAAACAAATCACATTTCTTTCTTTGATGAATCAGTTGTCCCTTCTCCCCTCCTCCTTCCTGCTTCCTCCTGCCTAACGGAATAAACCCAGAATTTCATCTCATAAAAATCAAGTAGAGGAAAAATCACCTTCAATATTGTAAAAAATCCAAGGAAGTGAAGTTTATAAGAAAATACATTACATCTTTGAAAACACCAGGAGAAAAAAAATCGTCAATTTATTCTCACAAAATTGCAGAAAAACACAGATTGTTTAAATTGCACGAATAAAAGACCAATAAGAATAAAGATGTAATTTTTTTCCCCGAGAATAAAACAAATAAATAAAATCCCAAGAACAAACACAATTTCTCAACACAAGGTAGAACAACAAAAGAAAACAACAAACGTGTTTCTTTGTAATAATTAAACAAAATATGATAGTAAAAAGTTTTCTATATTAAACAAGAGAGAAAAGATAAATATTACATAAAAATATGAAGGAAAATATTCAACTTTTTTATATAGTGAAAAAGTTGGTTAAGGATGGAGGTATTTTATACTATCCTGTAATATGAAGGAGGAGCAAGGGAGAGAGGAGGGAAGAGGAGGGAGGGAAGGAGGAGGGAGGGAAGGAGGAGGGAGGGAGAGTTTGGGAAGAGATGACGGGGTGGTGGATAGATGAGGAAAAGGGAAAAAAGGAAAAGAGGAGGGATAGAATAAGGATAGATATTGAAGGAAAAGGAAGGGAGGTGAAGGATGGAAGGAAAAAAGACAGAGAGAAGGACAGAGTCTGGAACAGTGAGAGGAAGAAGGGACAAGGTGAAGGGTAGGTAGAGATTGAGAGAGGTGGGTGAAAAGGACAGAAGGGAAGGAAGAAAATGGTCTGAAGGAACATAAGAGGGGTAAGGAAGGGAGAGAGAGAGAGAGAGAGAGAGAGAGAGAGAGAGAGAGAGGGGGGCAAGAGGGTGACCAGGGGAAGGAATTTAAAATGGAAGGACGTGGAGAGAGAGAGAGAGAGAGGAAGGAAAGGAAGGATGGGAGGGAGAACTAGGCCTGTGATCATGAAAAATAGAGAAGGTTGGGTGTCGATATTGACATCAGACGACCAACCATCCCTCAGATTGGCTCCAGTTCCTCAGTGACCAGCTCTTGCACAATCAGTGAGGGAGAGAGAGAGAGAGAGAGAGAGAGAGAGAGAGATAGATAGAGAGAGAGAGAGAGAGAGAGAGAGAGAGAGAGAGAGAGAGAGAGAGAGAGAGTTTGTCAATTGAATGTTTTTACTAAAATTGTTGTACTGGGTGTGTGTGTGTGTGTGTGTGTGTGTGTGTGTGTACTGTTGTTGTTGAACGTCCTGGGACTGAGTGTATTGGAGTGTAGGTGGAGTGTTATGGAGTGTTGTCGGGCGAGGAAAGACTGGGTGTATTGGGATGTAAATGAAACGTTGTGGAATGTTGACAGGGAGAAAAAGAGAGGTGGTGGTGGGAGTACTGGGAAGGAGGGCGGTGAAGTGTACTGTGGGTGTAGTGTTTTGGAGCTGTCTATTGGCGTGTGTACAGATCTGGTGGGGAAGCGACAGGGTGTGTATAGATGAGTGAATAAATGTGTACCCGTGTCGTGTACACTGGTGTCGTACACGTACGTATTAGGTGTCGGCACTTGCAGTACACCGCGCGCACACGTCGCGTGACTTGTCGTGTACACTGGTGTCGTGTATCACTGGTGTCGTATACCCTGTGTCGTACACTTGTGACGTGTACACTGGTGTCGTGTACACTTGGCCTAAATCAGTCATCAGGAAGGAGGAAGTGAAGCAGGGACGCGAGTGGTCGTATACGTCGCTACACGTTCACAGAAGATCACTAATGACAGAATTAGGTGTGTGTGTGTGTAGTATCACACACACACACACACACACACACACACACAGCTACCACTAAGGGCAATGAAGAGCTCCAGCAAGAACCTCCAGTTAGATAGGAGGTAAACAGCAGGTAAACAGCAGGTAAACACCAGGTAAACACCAGACAAACAGTAGGTAAACAGCAGGTAAACAGCAGGTAAGAAACTGACACACTGATCACCTAGACAAGTGACCTATTGGAAGACCTGAACTCCCAGTTTGACACAGGTGCCTAACTAATTCAATACATAAGTGACACCCTCAAGACAGGTGTCCAACTCTGCACATGTGAATAGCTAATCAAGGCAGGTGACTCTGCTGAGACAGGTGTTAGAAAGCAAGACGCAGTTATACCGGAGGAATTTAAACCGAGCAGGAATCGATAGAGACATGTTAGTTCTGGTATACACGGTCACGTGAGTTGAGAGAGAGAGAGAGAGAGAGAGAGAGAGAGAGAGAGAGAGAGAGAGAGAGAGAGAGAGAGTTATTGTATTATTAAAGGCATTGGATTATACTATCCTCACAGCCAGGAGAGCTGCTCGACGTACTGTGTTTGTGTTGGTGTAACCTAGACTGCGGTTCATTGCTAGGACTGCGGTACACTGCTAGGACTGCGGTAAATTGGCTAATGTGGTATACTGCTAGGATTGTGGTACAATGCTACGACTGTGATATGCTGCTTAGGCTGTGGTTATCTGCGAGGACTGCGGTACACTGCTAAGACTGCGGTACACTGCTAAGACTGCGGTACACCGTTAGGACTACAGTATGCTGCTAGGAGTGTGGTATATTACTATGACTGCGGTATACTGCTCGGCCTGTGGTATACTGATAGGATTGCGGTACAATGCTAAGATTCTAATATACTGCTAGGACTGGTACACACACACACAAATACACAGACACACACACACACACACACACATCTATTGTTAAAATAATAAACAGCTCCTGATTTGTGTACTGTACAGCCCTGTAAATGTATTGAATGTATATTATTATGTCTAAATCACATAAATTTGTATATTTTCAGCAAACGGCTGCAACTCTACACAAAACCGTTTATTATTATTTTATTATCACACACACACACACACACACACACACACACACACACACACACACACACCCCAACCCATCATTACACCCACACCTCAACCCATCTTCACACCCACACCCCAACCCACCCTCACCCTCACCCTAAAAACACCTTACAGTAGACTCACCTAGTCTGAGGTGCTCGTGTCCCCTGAACCAGGTAATCTGAGACACAGGTTTGGAGTCCTTGATCAGGCACTCCAGCGTGAGGGAGTTGCCCGCCTTCACTGTGATCTGGGCGTCCGGTACGTGACCCACCATCTCGATACTCGTAGGCGCAACTGTAGAAAGAGGAGAACATTAGTCCATCTATATACTGGTAGCGACTGTAAAGGAGAAAAGGAAGGTTAGTCCATCTAGGTAATCATGGCGCTGTAGAGAGAGGGAGGAGGGGAGGGTTAGACTACTCATATACCGTAGACACAAGAAGGAATTGAGATAATTGATGGAAAACGTCAATCGGCCATCCCCATACCCACATGAATCTAGATGGAAGCTTAGAAGGTGATTGGAAGGACCACCGACCCACCTTAGGAGGCAATGCAGGAGGGTTGAAGGATAGGAAGGGTAATGGTAGTGTGTGTGAAAGGAGGGAGGGAAAGATGGAGGATAATGGTAGGTGTGAAGAGGAAG